AGAATATCATTGTCAGATATTTTAAATGAGTGGATAGCACACTTATGTCCTTTATTTTAATTATAATATGGCGTGCGAGGGTTTGAAGTTCCTAAGAATAATTGAGAATATCTAATTTCCTATTATTCCTATTATTATTTTCCTATTCCTATTTCAACGCAAATAGGAGTACGAAAAATATAGTTTGTGAGAACACTGTTAGTTTAATGAAATATATTGATTTCTGAAATAGAAATTAGTTTAATAAGTAATTAATATATTATTTTAATACAAAATTATGTTTTTATATTTCGTATATTGTTGTCGCATTTGAACAATTTTTTAAAAAGTTATCGAATTTTCAGTGGCTGTTAATAACAAAGCTTCAAGGCTTTCAATCAGATCAGTTCATTTCACGTGTACAAAAATAAATCCCAGTCAACACGGTGCACATGAATTACATATCAGATGCTTTGTACGCTATGACCTGAGTGAAAGAAAGAATCCACCTGGATGTATCAATCGGAGCACTATTTTTAAAAATATGTCAGCAAGCATACAGTCGGTGTAAAAAGTATTCGTACACGATATTTCCGGTTCCTGGGAAATTACCAAATTAAGATGTCATAATTTCGTAGAAGTGTGCGGTACAACAACGAACCTGGACTTATTTTAAAGCTATGTTATGCTATTGCACTGACAGTATGTCATTACAACTTTTGGTACGTCAGATTATTGGAGAACTATTTTCTATTTTAAAGAGAGTGGGAAATTTGTACCAATCGAGAAAACCTTTATCGAGCCTAAAACGTGACTAACGTATATTGTTTTATAACAACGACAAGATTGGATTTACACAAACTTCGTACGATCTCGATATAGCATATAATATATGCTTGGATGATCTAAAATTTTCTCATAGAAACATTTTGATAATATCAGAAACTGGGAAAGAGAAAATTAAAGACGAATCATTATTATCGGTTCGATAGTTCTAATGTTAAAAAAGTGCAAATATTTTTTACCTTCGAAAATTAACGTACAATTAAATACATACGTTTGTTTTTTGTCTTTATCAGGTGCAGTAATCATTCTTTTTTGATAAAACAACAATGCAGGTCAAACCGTTTTTCCATTTTTATTCGTGAACGCGATAGATACGTTCAAAACTGAATAATAATTAGACTGGGAATCTGTATGCATTTATGACATGCACAGATTTTTCAAATGCCAGAAAACATATAAATTAACGTGATCAAATAGCGTTTTTCTTTTCTTTTTGCAATACGTATTCTTTTAGTTGGCAATAGAAAAACCTCTCTTTAGTACTAATTTTATCTACAGTAAAAAAAATGACAATGTACAGCAAATGTTTAGCCAAAATTATTGAGACTTCGAGAAATTTCTTTCTAAATCAGCTTTGATTGTAATTGTAAATGTAATAAAAATGAATGGGAATTAATTAATACGCTTCATAAAGCGCAATATTCTTTCGCCTACTTATTTGTGTCTCGGGAAATAAATAAACCAAGTGTTCTGTATGCGGTATTATGCGCGAGATAATTTTGCAGCTGGCAAAAAAGAGATAGAAAAAATTCGCATGTGCTCTATTCGTGATCGTGTTCGTAGAAAGAGAATACGGGAATAAGGCCTGTAACCGTTTCCCCTTTCATAGTTGTGCAAATCGAGCCGCATTATATCGGGCACCAATGCCGCATCCCATTTCATCGATCTTCTCGTATCATAAATAT